GGCAAGTTTATTATGTTTCAGTATGAAGCTATCATCATCTCTACGGCTTATTTTACTATTACAATTCATCTAATGTGACATAATAAACGATATTAATAAGATAGAAACATGATATATATACTCTAGAATTCGTAAAATATGTCATTCCATATGTCACGAGTGGTGGTGATCTTGTTGGGTTTAAAAGGGCCACTGAGAAAAGCCGTACATATTAGTGGTGGTGGAGGCTGTGGCAGAAGCCACCACCACTATTCACACAATGTACATAACTTACAAATAAGAGATATTTACACTTTACAAATAAGAAATATTTACACTTACCTTGCAGGAGAAGTTAGTTTAATTAGTTAGTTTGATGGAAGAGATGCTGGCAGAGGTTTAGGGTGATGGAAGATAGCAGGGCGGTGTATGTTCAGTAGCCCTATACACCTCCAACAACATTGGAGAGCTACTTTCATGTCGCTTATCTATCGCTTAACTAATTTGCTACACTGTTAACCTTTTGACTGTTTCAGTCATATATACACGTCTTATGAGGTACCGTGTTTGACGTATATACACTCATAAATTCTAGCGGCTTCAAATCAAGCAGGAGAAAGCTGGTAGGCCCACATGTGAGAGAATGGGTCTGTGTGGTCAGTGTGCATCATATAAAAAAAATCCTGCAGCACGCAGTGCATAATTAGAAGAAAAAAAAACCTCCGACCGTTTTTTTTAATTAAAATGCTGAATTTGTGGTCTATTTTCATATAATATTTATGTTTGTATTCTCATTTTCTTGGTCTCATTTGATAGAATGGAAAACATATTATAGAAATAGAGGTGATATTGATTGGTTTTACTATAAAATGAACTTGGAAATGGAGCTCAAAGTAGGGGAAATGTTTGATTTTTGCCGATGTTCAAAAGTAAACAAATGATGTCATTGTCCAATAAATGTCCAACTAGCCATTCTAGTATGCAGTCATGAATGGGCTGATGTTATTTGTACAATTATTACAGTATTGCAGTAGTCTGCATAACAGTAAATCTTCTATTTTTTGTTTGAATAAAAATTCAAAATAGAAAGCAAAAGTAATATCAGAGGGGCCTGGAGACATGACTGATGAACAAAGAAAATGTTATTTTAGAGCCAGGAATGTCCGCATTGTTCATTCTGAACCTTATTTTGAAATTGTCATATTTTTTCATTTTCATGAAATTGGCCAAATTACAAATTTCTGACCACGTTATTGGGTAGTTGAAATTGGTAAATGGGCAGTTTCTTGTACACAGTCGATAGACAAAATGGAGTTCTAAAGAAATAGCTATGAGTTTGGTCAACTGGAACAATGGAATTAGCCGAAAATAGGGCTCAAAGTGGGTGAAATCGCTGATTTGTAAATATCGCCGAGGTCACTAACTTTGCGAGAGCATAATTCCATCAGTTTTCCATCAAATTTCGCTTTTTTTTTTTTTGGTGTCATTACAATCAGGAAAAGATTCTCTATCATTTCATAAGAAAAAATAATTTTTTTTTTGTTTTGAAATTTTGCGACACCAGGAGACACCTCAGGATTGGGGGTTGCGACAGTCAAGGGGTTAATGCTACACTTTATCGCTGGCTGGCGCTATAGCCTTTATCAATACCTGCTGCTTTAGTATCGTACGTATCGTAGAATCACGGAAGAAGCACATTCTCCCATCTCTTTTCCTCTTCCACTTTGGTACTTTGCTGTAAGTTTTTTGTTGAATTCTATAGTGTTTCTTTCCTATTTTACCAAAGGGCTGGCACTATGAGCTTTCTTTGGGCCCATGGTGGCTTATTTAACCCTTTGACTGTTTTGGTCATGTATATACATCTTCCTAGGTAGTAGGTTGGTAGACAGCAACCTCCCAGAGAGGTACTAGTGTCCTCCCAAGTGAGTGTAAAACGAAAGCCTGTAATTGTTTTACATGATGGTAGGATTGCTGGTGTCCTTTTTTCTGTCTCATGAACATGCAAGATTTCAGGTATGTCTTGCTACTTCTATTTACACTTAGGTCACACTACAAATACATGTACAAGCATATATATACACACCCCTCTGGGTTTTCTGCTATTTTCTTTCTAGTTCTTGTTCTTGTTTATTTCCTCTTATCTCCATGGGGAAGTGGAACAGAATTCTTCCTCTGTAAGCCATGCGTGTTATAAGAAGCGACTAAAATGCCGGAAGCAAGGGGCTAGTAACCGCTTATCCTGTATAAATCACTAAATTTAAAAAGAGAAACTTTTGTTTTTCTTTTTGGGCCACCCTGCCTCGGTGGGATACGGCCAGTTTGTTGAAAGAAGAAAGATATACAGTGCAACCTCAAATATCGAACTTAATCCGTTCCAGGAGCTAGTTCTAAATTAGAAAAGTCTGAAAAGCGAAGCAATATTTCCCGTAAGAAATAATGGAAATACATTTAATCCGTTCCAGGAACCCAAAAATATTCACAAAAAAAAAAAAAAATACATTTTATAGAGATTAATTATAGTTTTACATACACACAACAAATACTATAGTGTTCAATTATGTATTAATGAATTTAAATAAACATAAAATAACATTTTTATTTACCTTTATTGAAGATTGGTGATGGCATCTGGAAGATAGGGAGGAGGAGAGAGGGAGTTGAGTTTAGTGTTTGGAAGGAGAATCCCCCTCCATGAAGATTTAAGGTAGCAAAGCCCTCTCTGGGGTTACTTTCCTTCTCTGTATTTTAATGCCACTAGGACCAGCTTGAGAGCCACTGGACCCCTGTCTCACAAAATAGCTGTTTACAGTCCTCTGTTTCTGTCTCACAAAATAACTGTCCACAGTCCTCTGTTTCTGCCTCACAAAATAACTGTCCACAGTCGTCTGTTTCTGCCTCACAAAATAACTGTCCACAGATATTTTGTGAGGCTCAACAAGTCTCACACCACTCTCATACTTCTGTATTACTTCCTTCTTCACATCTATGGTGTTTCTCGCTTTCTTTACCACAGGGGTACCACTAGAAAGTTTCTTTGGGCTTATGGTAGCTTATTTCACAGTCCCACAAGCACTAAGCACAATGAAATAATCATAAAACATTTGAATGAGAGTGCAGGTTAGTGTTTACTCAGGCAACAACAAAACCAGACTGGCTCACGGCGCCTACGTGGGGACTAGGACAGAGCGAGCTGCCGGACAGGTCTGGCACCCGGCAGTTCGAAAATAGGGGCGAGTTCGATAATAGGGACAAAGTTGGTTCGAAAAAAGCGTTCTATTTTCGAAAAGTTCGATAAGTGATACGTTCGAAATTTGAGGTTCCATTGTATGCCTTACGAGCCACCGTTTTTGACGTATACTCATAAATTCTAGCGGCTTCAAATCAAGCAGGAGAAAGCTGGTAGGCCCACATGCAAGAGAATGGGTCTATGTGGTCAGTGTGCACCACAAAAAAAAAATCCTGCAGCACACAGTGCATAATGAGAAAAAAAAACTGACCGTTTTTTTGGAATAAAACGCTGAATTTGAGGTGTATTTTCGTATAGTATTTATCATTGTATTCTCATTTTCGTGGTTTCAAGTGATAAAATGGAAAACATATTACAGAAATAGAGATGATTTTGATTAGTTTCACAATGAAAATGACCTTGAAATTGAGCTAAAAAAAGCGGAAATTTTAAATTTTTACCAATGTTCAGGAGTAACCAAATCACACCACATGTCCAATACACGTCAACTGGGGAGTCTAATATTCTTTCACTAGTGCACTGATATTATTTATACCATTTTTACAATAATGCAGTAGTCTGCATAACAGAAAATTTTGTATTTTTTGTATGAATAAAAAATCAAAATAGAAAGCAATAGTAATATAGGAGGGGCCTAGAGACATGACTAATGAACACAGGATATGTTATTTTAGTGCCAAGAATGTCTACATTGTTTATTCTGGACCCTATTTTGAAATTGGCATCTTTTTTAATTTGCATGAAATTGGCCAAATTGCCAATTTCTGACCACTTTATTGGGTAGTTCAAATCGGTAAAGGTGCGGTTTCTTGTACTCAACTGATAGAAAAAATGGAGTTCTAAAGAAATAGGTATGAGTTTGGTCAACTGGAACAATGGAATTGGCCAAAAACAGGGCTCAAAGTCGGCGAAATCGCCGATGCATACATGTCGCCGAGACCGCTAACTTCGCCGGAGCGTAATTCCGTGAGTTTTCGACCAAATTTCATACTTTTGGTGTCATTACCATCGGGAAAAGATTCCCTATCATTTCATAAGAAAAAATAATTTTTTTGTTTACAAAAATTTTGTGACAGAATGACAGTTTCAGATAGGGGCTTGCGACAGTCAAAGGGTTAATTACGAAAAACGAGGGTCCGCTGTAATTGGATTTACATTATTTCTTATGGGGAAAATGAATTCGGATATCGTCAAATTCGGCTTTAGTCACACTCTCTGGAACATTTTTCCTTTGCAAACCTTTTATCCAGTCCCTAACTAGGTTGTTAAATAAGAATTTACTGCATGAAAGTATACATAGGAAAAACAGATTATTTGTAAGAAATTAACATAAAAGTATTTTGAGAACTGATTTCAAAGCTGTATAAAGCTATTTATTTACAAAGGTTTAGAAAAGTATTAAAAGCAGAGGATAACTAGTTTCTGAAAAAGTTAATGAAAAAACAATCTTAGCTTGATAAAATAAATAATCAATACTATACTTTAACTTGTACAGTTGTAATTTCCATCTATGTTTCTAAATACAACATGTTTTATTCTAAGAACAGGGATCAATAAAACTGATCACGTGTCAAAATATCACAATTCACGAGAAATGAACATAATTTGTTCTCAATGTATACATGCCAGTACATTCAAAAAGTAAAAGGTGGCCCATGTCTAGTGGTGGGCTCCCCATGAATCGGGCATTTTATTGCATTAGTGCATTATGGAGAAGTTTCATAGCAATATCAAGTGAAGTGACATTTATGTTAACAATACATGAGATACTTACCTAACTCCTGACAAAAGTTGTATCTTGAACGTCTTGCTGCGCTGCAAGCAAGAGATAAAGCGGACAGTCCACTTGTCTCTGGGTCATCATCAACTTGAAGAACTAAAAAAAAAAAAAAAAATTAAAACTATATAGTACATCGAATTTATTCTACAAGAGGCACTTTCTGACACTGTCCTAGACTGGAACGTCAGTTCTCAAGTTATATCAAAATTAAAAATATAGCCTCTCCTCAGTTAGCGGCGTACTCGTTTACTGACGATTCGAACTTATGACTGCTTCTCTGACCAATATGCATACCTAAATAACATTTTTTAAGAGCTGATTTCTTCTATTCTGTTTATTACAATGTACAGAAGACTACTGTATAAACATTTAAAAATATACCAGAAATGTTATAAATGGTGCAAAGGTGACATTAAAACATCAAAGATGGTCGACACAAACCCACTACCATTATAGGATGCTTCTCACTTGGCGACAAATTCGTTTACAGACATGGTCTTCGGAATGGAACTCTGTCGTTAAATGAGGAGAGACTGTACTGAGTTTTTAACAGTTTTATTAAGCTAATATTACTAACTTCAAAAAATTATTTGTCAATATAAGCCAGATTTTTAAATTCACTCAGCCAGTTACTTTGAGGATGTATAATAAAATACAACTTTAATACTGTTTCTTGAAAATGCAAATTATTGCTCCTCCTCCTGCAAGGCAGGAAAAGGTACAGGTATAGTACTGTATAATGAGGTAACTGCATCATGTGAGAGGGTAGTTTTTTTAACACATCAGTTGTCACCCACTGAGGCAAGGTGACCCAAAAAGCACACACTTTCACCATCATTCACACATAATCACTGCCTTTGCAGAGGTGCCCAGATATTGTACTGCTGAAGGGATTCAGGGAAACCGGTTAGCCGGTCTTGAGTTCTGGAGGTGAGAAGCACAATGCCTGCACTTTTTTAAAGGAAGGATTTGGGACATTTGCTGTTTGGAGTGACATCTGAACTGTTGTATCTGAGTACCTTTGCAAAGACAGTGATAATGTGTGAATGATGTAGAGTGGTGAAATGGTAAAGGTGCTTCTTTCTATTTTGGGTCACCCTGCTTTGGTGGGAGATGGCCGACACGTTAAAAAAAAAAAAAAATTGTATTGTAGAATATCAACTGGTAAATAATTCCAAAAAGGCATGTTATTATTAGCATATATTTTGGAAACTACTCAGATAATTGACACTTAAGATAATGGCACAATTGTTCCATTATATGGAACTACATATTAAACCAAAAAACAACAACTTTCTGTGTTGGCTATGATGAACACCTAGGAATAACAACCTCCATGTAAATACCATTATTAACCAGACCATTGCACTGTCTGAAAAAAAAAGTCTTGGTTTATTAACTTCCTCTTGTCATTATCTGGCATGTTTTAGCTTATGACGTGGTCTCAGTGTGGCCTCTGGATGTACACCTACCATCCGACTTACGACCTGCTCGGCTTACGACCACGCGACTTACGACCGTGTTTTTTATGTCAAATTTCTGGGAAATAAACAACTATTTGTGTTGTACAGTGTTTATCCTAAACCTTACAGTATAAAATCCAGTACTAACAACATAAAAAGTAAAGTAAAACATGAAATACCAAAGTAAAACAATAAAATAAAGTCATTACAAAAATGTTTTGTTGATATTCAGTAGTAAAGTTCGACTTACGACCATTTCAACTTACGACTGGTTTCTCGGAACTGAACTCGGTTGTAAGTTGGATGGTAGGTGTAATTCTTAACCTGAGTATGTACAACTGGCATGGGATGGTGGTACTCTCCATGGCACATCAAATCCAACATACAATAGTTTTCCTACTTCAAAATGTAGTATTCCATACAGTTATGTTAAACCACAAGGAAAGATATCACCAGCACCACTGTCATGGTGAAGCAGCTGTAAACAGGAGAGCAGGGAAACTCAAAGCACTAACATTTAAATGAGAATCTTGCTCATCTGTTGAGCTATGCAATCAAAATGGCCAAAGGGAAAGTAAGAGTTACCAAGCCACTAATATCAAGACTTAAAGATTAATTTGTTTACACTTTTTTTTTTTTTCAACAAGTCGGCCATCTCCCACCAAGGCAGGGTGACCCAAAAAAGAAAGAAAATCCCCAAAAAGAAAATACTTTCATCATCATTCAACACTTTCACCACACTTGCACATTATCACTGTTTTTGCAGAGGTGCTCAGAATACAACTGTTCAGGAGTATATACATATAAAGATACACAACATATCCCTCCAATCTGCCAATATCCCAAACCCCTCCTTTAAAGTGCAGGCATTGTACTTCCCATTTCCAGGACTCAAGTCCGACTATATGAAAATAACCGGTTTCCCTGAATCCCTTCACTAAATATTACCCTGCTCACACTCCAACAGATCGTCAGGTCCCAAGTACCATTCGTCTCCATTCACTCCTATCTAACACGCTCATGCACGCTTGCTGGAAGTCCAAGCCCCTTGCCCACAAAACCTCCTTTACCCCCTCTCTCCAACCCTTTCGAGGACAACCCCTACCCCGCCTTCCTTCCTCTATAGATTTATATGCTTTCCATGTCATTCTACTTTGATCCATTCTCTCTAATGACCAAACCACCTCAACAACCCCTTTTCTGCTCTCTGACTAATACTTTTATTAACTCCACACCTTTTCCTAATTTCCACACTCCGAATTTTCTGCATAATATTTACACCACATATTGCCCTTAAACAGGACATCTCCACTGCCTCCAACCGTCTCCTCGCTGCTGCATTTACCACCCAAGCTTCACACCCATATAAGAGTGTTGGTACTACTATACTTTCATACATTCCATTCTTTGCCTCCATAAATAACGTTTTTTTGACTCCACATATACCTCAACGCACCACTCACCTTTTTTCCCTCATCAATTCTATGATTAACCTCATCCTTCATAAATCCATCCGCCGACACATCAACTCCCAAGTATCTGAAAACATTCACTTGTTCCATACTCCTCCTCCCCAATTTGATATCCAATTTTTCTTTATCTAAATCATTTGATACCCTCATCACGTTACTCTTTTCTATGTTCACTTTCAACTTTCTACCTTTACACACACTCCCAAACTCATCCACTAACCTTTGCAATTTTTCTTTAGAATCTCCCATAAGCACAGTATCATCAGCAAAAAGTAACTGTGTCAATTCCAATTTTGAATTTGATTCCCCATAATTTAATCCCACCCCTCTCCCGAACACCCTAGCATTTACTTCTTTTACAACCCCATCTATAAATATATTAAACAACCATGGTGACATTACACATCCCTGTCTAAGACCTACTTTTACCGGGAAGTAGTCTCCCTCTCTTCTACACACCCTAACCTGAGCCTCACTATCCTCATAAAAACTCTTTACAGCATTTAATAACTTACCACCTATTCCATATACTTGCAACATCTGTCACATTGCTCCTCTATCCACTCTATCATATGCCTTTTCTAAATCCATAAATTCAATAAAAACTTTCCTACCTTTATCTAAATACTGTTCACATATATGCTTCAATGTAAACACTTTATTTACACATCCCCTACCCACTCTGAAACCTCCTTGCTCATCCGCAATCCTACATTCTGGTTACCTCTAATTCTTTCAATTATAACCCCACCGTACACTTTTCCTGGTATACTCAGTAAACTTATTCCTCTATAATTTTTACAGTCTCTTTTTGTCCCCTTTCCCTTTATATAAAGGGACTATACATGCTCTCCACCAATCCCTAGGTACCTTCCCCTCTTTCATACATTTATAAAACAAAAGTACCAACCACTCCAACACTATATCCCCCCTGCTTTTAATATTTCTGTCATGATCCCATCAGTTCCAGCTGCTTTACCCCCTTTCATTCTACGTAATGCCTCACGTACCTCCACCACACTTACATTCTGCTCTTCTTCACTCCTAAAAGATGGTATACCTCCCTGGCCAGTGCATGAAATTACCGCCTCCCTTTCTTCCTTAACATTTAAAAGTTCCTCAAAATATTCTCGCCATCTACCTCATTTATCGTCATTAATCCGTTTCTGGAAGTGCAACAATTAATCCGTTCCTAACACCCAGAAGCATTAAAACAAAATTTTTTTTTACATGAAATATAGATGTAGTACATAAACAATATAATGGAACATGATGAATGAAACATTAACAGCATAACACTTACCTTTATTGGCGATTCTTCTTAGTGTATGGAAGACTGGAGGAGGAGAGAGATTGGATTAGTTACTGTTTGGAAGGGGAATCCCCTTCCATCAACACCTCAGGTACCAAGTCCTCTCTGGGGTTACTTCTCTTCGCTGTTTCTTAATGCCACTAGGACCAGCTTGAGAGTCACTGGAGTCCTGTCTCACAAAAAAAGTGTCCAGAGAGCTGTTTCTGGCATATCTTTAAAACTTCCTTAAAATGGGCCAAGACTGTCACTGTACAAGTTGCCGATATGGCTTGCAACATCCTTCTCAGGGTGATGTTTCTCCATGAATCTTTCCATCCTACCCCACATTTCAAAAATCTCCTTAATTTCTAAAGAAGGCACCTTCTTCCATCTCTCTTCCTCCTCCTCTGCAGCAAGATTCTGAGCTGTGATCTGTTGCTGTTCCTGCTGAAGCTCTTGCAGCTCCTCAGTGGTTAGCTCTTCGTTGTGGTCCTCCACCAACTCTTCCACATCCTCCAAACTCACATCCAATCCCATGGAACTCCCCAATGCCACAATAGAGTTCACAACTGGCAGCCTCACCATGCCTTATCACACTGTGTATGTCACTACTCTTCTTAAATCTCTCAAACCAACCTTTGCTGGCCTTAAATTCACAATTATCAGTACTCGTTGCAAGCAATTTCTTTACCAGATCGTCATGCAACTGCCTAGCCTTTTCACAAATAATCGATGTCAAAAGATTATCTCCTGCTAATTGTTTCTCATTTATCCACACCAATAATAACTTCTCAACATCTTCGAGTACTGGTGATCTCATTTTTGTCAGCATATTTACCCCCTTTGCAACAACAGCTTCCTTGATTTCCT